AAAAAAAAAAAAAAAAAAAAGAGAGTAAGATAGAGACTGAGAAATAAACTAGTTTTCAACTCTGTTGTGCTTTGAGTGTTCCTTTATAGCCTAGTCCTGAATTTTAATTCACCTGGATAGATTTCCATTTAAACAACGTTGGAAAGCTGGTGGCCCAGATGGTAGTAGCAAATAAATATGAAGTGTGTTTCCTCAGTTCAGAAAAAAAATAAAACAAGCCAGAATACAGCACGAGCACGGGAACATGGACAGATGAATGTGTCAAGACGTTCCCGAACTCCTCAGGGCTCTGGGGAAAACCCGAGTTCCTCTCTTAGCCCTCTAGGCCCTCCTCAACCAAGCTCTTCACTCGGTCCCCTTTCCTAAGCTACACACCAGAGATTTTTTGTTTATCAAATGCATCATGATGATTCCACATTCAGTCTCTTTGTCTTTGCGGTTCCCTCTCCCTGAGATGCTCTTCCCAGTGGCTGATCACTACTCACACATGAGGCTTCAACCTAGTAGCCTGTTTCTGAGATAAGTTCTTTTTCATCAAACCACCAAAATCAGTCAATATTTCCTATTTTGTTGCCCCAAAGCTACCTTTAGAGCACCTGTCATGACCAAGAATAGTAATTGCCCCCTACAAAATTATACTTTGTCTCACGCAATCCTAAGTATAAGATGAGTATTAACTCGTTAATTGCAACATCTTTTGGCAACTGTTTGATGAATGTCCATCTCCCTTGCCATACTTTACATTACATGGGTTAGACACTTTGTGATTTGCTTAATACATTATCATTAGCATCCAATGGAGTATTGGCCTCAGGGTAAGGCTAATACATGAGGTTTGCTTGCTACTATTTTCATTGTTGTTGTTGTTCTTGCTGTTGTTGCTGTTGTTAGTACATGTTTGCAGTATATGCAGTTTGCCATCATCTTATGGAGTGCCAAGATGTGCCTTTAGGAGATAATATCCCTGCTCAAGTTTCCTCAATGGCTGCAGTGAAGGTGAACTAGGATATTTGGGTTAAAGCAAGTGGAACATAACTAAAATGCTCAGTAACCAAGTGCAGGCCACCCTTTGTCTGAAGGAGAGAATGGGAACCACCCTCCTGTATCTGGGAGAGGGGTACTGGACCAACTTACCCATGGAGAAAGGAATAAAAGCTTCACTCTTCTTCAGCG